ATCCTTTTCAAGAAGCCTATCGATAATTCCCTCCCCGTAAGTTTCTCCAAGTAGGAGATCACACAAACGCTCATCAATCATCAGTATCATTGACCAACTGTTTCTCCGTGCACCTATCACGTGCCCTGAAGTGACCCAAGGGAACGAGTCTGGAGTATCTCCTCGGAATTTCCATATCTGAATATATTTTCCGTAGAACTTGTTTTTCAAAGCAACTAATAATCTCTACTCATCTCATCCATTTAAATTTCTTTCAATTTTTTTCTCGAACTTTCTTGCCAGATTCGGAATCTCGTTTTAATGCACACGATGAGTAGTAAATATTAGGGAGGTTATTTAGCTACACGTTTTTAAGATAACTTGTACGCGAACGTATCAAGTTATGGTCCTCCAGGTATTAATTCTACCTTCGTAATAATTACTTTTCCCGATTGTGTAGTAAGGTATAACTTTTTAGATAATAAAATTAGTTGCAATTAGTAGTTGTAATTTTGTCCCTTGAGAAACCAATTAAGAGGGGGACAGTTCCCCATTGAGTCGAAATATTACACGGTCAGAAGTTCTCCAAAAACGTGTCGCTAAACCTCATCAATGTCAATAATTGACTCCATCTTGACTCACAAGATTTCGACTGCCCTCTGAGGAGGGGACTTAGTTTAGACATTTCCATGATGGGTGCTCTATGCTCCTTGTAACGTTCTGGATTGACTCATTGATTGGGGAATACCCTTGGATCACTGATTAGTATTCTTCCCTCTGACAGGGACTTTCACCTTAACATTCAACTAATAGGAGAACAACTGAGTCAAGCTAATTATGTCTACCTCATGAGAAACAATTTCTGAGAACGACCAAAGGATCTGATTGGGTCAGCGAGCTTATCGATGATGTAACGAGTATGGAACCAAGTGAATGACTATTTCAAAGGGTAATACAGGAATGATAGATGACTTAGGTAAGGGTATTCATAGCCGGAGCAAGCAAGTAGTATAACAAGACGTGGAACAACCCTCACCTCCCAGCCAGTGGAAATACAAGCTCAACCAAAACAACTGTTTAAAAGCAGAACCAAGGTAACTTTGCATCAAGGTAGTCAGTTGCATCTTCTTTTATATAACCAACATGTTTTTTGCTAGCTGAGAAATAGAAAACGGATTATACGACAAGTGAGATCATCCCGATCGCTGATTAGAAGACAACCTCAAGGAAGGACAACGTAACATAAATTTCGTGAAGGAATAACATTTACAAATTGAGGTACTTAAACGTTATTGTTTCTTATTTTGTATTTGCTATAATTGGTCATCGTCTAGAAGCAATCTATAACGTGTATATAGTCTTTAGGTAAGTAGCTGTTAATGCAATTTCTCAGGGTATCTGTATTTGTAAGCGTTTAAATACAGGCTCATAGCCAAGTTTCTTCAAGCATCATCCTAACAGGGGGAGTATCTTGTTTTTCGCATTTGCTCGATTGCCGATTTTGACCAATACAACATCAAGTTTGTCCAATACAATACCAATTTTACCTCAGAACTTTATTGCATTAAGTTCATGTAGGTCAAAATCTTATTTCTAAAGCTAACCCTAACCCTAACCCTAACCCTACCCAAGTACCAAAGAACATTACAAGGACAAATAATCATCAAGCGCAGCCAGTCTAACAAAAACAAGCCCCTAAATCCCAGTGGTCTATTTTTTGTTCACTCTAGTCAAAACCGGGGTCAAAACTCAGATCAAGACATTTTAATAACACGGAATAGATCCGAGAATGAAGCTACAATTGATTCATTAATTTATTAATATGTCCTACGTATATACCAGAATTGTCATATGGAACAATTATATAAAATATTAATCTTCACATTTTATTTCGACCATTGATCTACACACACATACGTACTGGTAGTACTTAATATACGAAGCTAATATACGTGTTAATAAATCATCTTCACCTTCCCGCATCATTTTGAGGTAGATATCTGTAGGTAGAATGATCTAAAAATAAATGATATCCTGTTATTTACACCTATGCTAAAAGACAGGTTAGTATACTCGTGTGAATGTAAAAGCCAGATGTACAAATATATTTTACTGGATTGAATCACTTCCTAAAACAATATTTTATTATGTCATTCATTTTTTATTTTATTTGATGGTAAGTATACGAGTTGGACTATACGTTTAGAATACTTACCTCTCCTTAAGTTTGGAAAATCCAAATTCAACCTATAGACTAAATACACTGGTCAGTATCAAGCGAAGGTCGTTAACGGCCGTAACCTTCGCATCTAAGATGGCGGACGGTAATTGTCGATTTCGATGGTTCTCATCGAATTACTAGTTTATAGTTGACGTTATGCTTTGATTTGAACCAAATCAGACTTACATGTATATCTATTGTGCAGCAAATCGACCATTCCAAATGGCTTACATTGCGATGGTGACTTTCTTAGTAGATATATCTGTAGATATATAGCACCATGCTTTTAATTCCAATGAGGCATCTCAATTTGCCAAACTTGAGGGGGGGTGGTGTAATAGAGGGATTTTATGAATGACAATGAATGCTGTAATTGTAGTAATCATGGATATTATTACAGTAAAATCTGTCTTAGTTAACATATCTCTAGTGAACCCCTGTGTTTAGTACATATAGTGAACACCACTCCAAGATAAATTTTTCATTGGCTCCTGTATAAAATCCCCTCTCTGCAGTGAACACCTACCTACAGTGAACACTACACGGGTTTTACTGTATGGTGTATACAATATATTAAGAACTTATAGTATCATCTTATCCTTCTTAAAACTTGAAACATATAATCGTTTTTTGAGCGTTCGTTTTTCAAAGATAAATACCCAGAGAAATATAGAGCACTGGATTTCCATAATAAGCTAAGACTGTCCCTCATACAGGTTGATGGAAATCTCAATCGTTCACTGTAAATGATACTGTGTTCAAAACTTGACCGATTAGCAACATATACTTTACATATAACGAATTAAAATATTGTACTCGTCTTCAAAACCCATCATAAGAAATTTTTGCCTTCTATTAGTTCTTTTCTAGAAAGTTTCTGGTGAAACTGAAAGATGTTTTGAGTATCAGAATGTTCAAAATCTAATTTGTACAAATAGATTAGATCTAGACTAAAAAAGCTTACAGATCAGGTGGTGATGACATTCGAAACTATTTTCAAGATCAGACTAACATTCAGCCTCAGGAAATAATAAAATTAACCCAAATATACGTACATGTACGTACTATAGTCATTTCATTCAATATTTTTTATATGTAAAGTTTTCCTATCTTTGCCAGCCGGGAGTTGTGGCGTGCTCCTGTAATCCAGTTACTTGGAGGCTTGGATTGTGGAACGGTTTGAGGGCGGGAGTCCTGCTTGTCGGTGCTCTATGTCGATTGGGCGTCCGCACTAAGCTCGGCATCAATATGGTCACCCCTGGGGAGCCTAGGGTGCCCAGGTTGTCTAAGGAGGGACGTACAGGTCCAGGGCGGAAACGCAGCAGACAAAAGTCCCCATGTCGAGCAGTAGTGGGTTCGCGCCTGTGAATAGGCGACGGCTTGCAGCCCGTCCAACATAGTTGGACTCAATTCTTTTTTGTTTGTAATTCATACGTATCTTTTAAATAATTGTTAAAATGGAACAGGTTGAGCGCGCTAGTTCGGATTAAAATGAATAGCCTAAGATTATTTTCATTATGGACCAGTCTTACCTAACAAATGCAAAAGCTTTGAAACCTCGTTGAAGTCTCGTTTGTAATGAGATTTCAGAAGACAAATTTAATGTTTAATCACAATCCGCATGTCAAGTTGACAACAAGATCATATAATTGCATTCCAATTTCATTTTACGTTAATCCCAATGGAAATACCTGATATACAAGTGTATCAAGAAATCAAGCGACTCTTGCTTTATGTCTCTGTGTATTCTGGCCACACTAACACACGGGCTGTCATCTATTTATCCGTCTATATGGCAAATGGTCTATTGGAAGTCATTTGGACAGCGTGTAAAAGGCTAATACCTGTTTTTCTTTGTATCTTAATTTATTTCTCAATTACAATATGTGAAAATGTACATTGTTAGTGATCACAACGTTCCGCCTTGTCTTTTTTAGAGGAAACTTGGTACTTTGAAAAAAGAAAATGTGAAGTTCAAAATCGCAAGCAAACACGGTCCAAAAAGGAGAGCTCCTGTTGTCAAACATTCGAGTGTAAGGATTTGGAAATTCCGAATATGGTAGCATCATCAGACCGGAAGGAAGATTAGTTATTTTATTGGCAGGGCTGTAAACACACTAATCCAATTTTGAAGACTTACAAATTAATTTTGCCGACATATTTTCTTTAGAAATGAAGTGGTCACAATAAACTTTTACTTCCAGATTAAATTGCCATACTGAGTATTTGCTAAATGCTAATTCACCGAGGACATTTGTCTCACTTGGTTTGTTATCAATTTAACACATGGTTGAATGTGTCCGATTTCTAAAGACATCAAATTCTTCAAGATTTGATTAATTTTGCATATTATTTTTTCCCCCAGACATCTGCCAGTCGTGCAATGCTAAGTCAGAGATAAGTTGATTTTAGGAATGCTATTTTGGTTAATTTGTGGTTTATTTACAGATTTCAGTTCGAAGTTACTTATGTTGTTTTGAGAAAGTATTATTGCATTATCTCTCTTGCATTCGTCTGGGAGGGATCTCAAACAAAGAGAAAATTTCACAAAATCAACAAAATGTGGTTGCTGATAGAATGATATGGACAGAAGCATACACATGGATATAATCTAGTAATATCTCATAAGATGACGCTCTTTTCGAGTGATAATTGACTCCTACACCAGATCTTACCAATAATAGAACTAGTAGTAAGCGATTATAAGTAATATTTGAGACAACGAGAAGTGGTAGTGTTCCAGTTTATTTAATAACGATATGATAGTCTGCGTCAAAAAAGCGAACAGAATATAAGAGATGAGTAGAATGTGAGACTTATTTGATATATTGGCCATCACTGATGGATTTACATCATGAGCTTAACTTCTGAGTCCGCCTAAGCTCATAAAGCTGCGCAGGCTGAAAGATTCGGAATTCTTGCAGAGATAAAGCGATGAGTCTTAGGTTTCTGTAGAACTGATGAAGTGCCAACATATACAGAGTCTGTACAGGTAAGCACTGAAAATATTTACCTTATTTTACCCCAGGAATGAAACGAAAGTCCTCATGGATTAAGACTGGGATTAGCGAGGAAAAGAAGAATTGATTAAAGAATACGTGTTATTCTCCAGATTTTTTCCAGTAGCATAGAAAAGGTAAGGAACGACGAAAGGATAACTTTTTCATTTGATGTATTTAGATCGAGATTCTTTATATTAGTTTTATTCATAGGATAGGCTAATGTTTTGAAGAGTTTCTCCCAGGATGTGGTCAATACATTGAATGATGTCACGGGCTTATATTAAACTGTGAGTTAAACTTTTTATTCAATTCAATTCAATTTATTCCTTAATAATATAATAAAATACAGATAATATAAAAGGTTTGACAGGTGACATCATTTCTGATGTTTATACCGGTACATGTTAATATAATGTTATCATATTTTTATGAACTTCATGGACGTGCTCTGACGGGGGGGGGGGGGTGCTCCAGGACTTCAAGTCTGGTCAAAATTTTCTGGCAGTTAGACGTGGTACTTGTGGTACGAGATGGACATAGTAAAAACGTTGTTACAAATTTGTTACAAACGTCTTTTAACGAACTTCATGTACGTGCTCGGGACGAGAAGGTGCTCCAGAAAATCGAGCCTGGCGTCCATCCCGTTGTAGAGCTCGTCCATCTTGTTTTTCGGTAGACCTAGTTCAACCGAATTACGTCCTTAGTCATCTCTATCTTGTGCTAATGCGTTTAAAACAAATTAATACTTTCTAGACGTTTATAAAACTTCGCAGTAGGCTCTCGCTCATTCTATAGTAGGTTCATGTATTGAAGACTGTTCATGAACGAACTCATGGAACTTGCATCGTAGTTAAAGACATTTCACTCTCCCGTTTTAAGAATTCTAAGGACGGGATCGAACTCTTTTAGAATTTAGGTTTGGTGGATAGTAAATGCTCCCTTAAAATTTTTGAAACATAAAAATTTGTTGTTATGAAATGTATAAACTGTTAAGAATCAGCAGTCAATTGTGAGATAATGAATACTTGGGCTGTGATAAAAGTGACATATTATCTTATCTACCGAAAAACAAGGTGTTTAGAAGAACATAAAGCGGCTGAGAGTTCCTGGTATTAAATCTCGCCCTGTTTACAAACGTGTATATGCCCAGGTACTCATCGGGGGTTTCTCTTATCTGACCCTAGCCTTACAAATATCAAGAAAAAAAACTGGGATGAGGAGCTGGTCCAATGGATAGGGGATTCTCTGTTACATCATGTGTATTGAACTTTTGTGAATATTTCCAGAATATAGATAATGATAATCCATGGTATTATCCTACTTACCAAAGTCAGTGATCAGAATCTGTAGATTTATATTATATTATATTATATTATATTATATTATATTATCTTAGTTATCTGGAATTCCTGCAAATTGAGCCATTTTGACCACCAGCCTAATTCGAGGAAATAAGTCATGAAAAATAACTGAGGCTATCGCTCTGAATAGGCCAAATAAACGGATACAATTTTGATATCGGTAATATATTAATAAAATCTGAGCACCTTGCGTTGGAAGACAGAACTATGTTGAGTATCAGAGTATTTACCCTTTGCATTCGTTCGACTTCGTTTCTCAAAAGAAGGTTTCGTCTTCAGAGTGTGGATGTGGAAATGTAGTACATGGTTTTTCATTGTCGCGCAAAAGTTTACCGCTAACAAATAGCTTCTACAGTATATCAATTTAATGCAGGTTGATTAACGTTCTGTAGATCAAAATCTCCCTCGGTAGACAATTGGGTGCCTTTAATTAATGATTATTGAGTTTAAATTTGGATAAAAAACTAAAGTATCTAGTTTAAACAAGTTATTTTTGAATCTACTCCCCACTCGTTTTTTCGTAATTATTTTTCAACAAGTGGAAAATTCATTTGCCATGGAGTGGATTTAGTCCAATAAATTGTATTTTTGTCTTCTTGATTAAAGCTTTTAATTTCACGCTTGAATAGAAACGAATTAACTGGGTTTATGTTACTTCCCATTTACAATGCCCGTATTCAATTTATCTGAATATTGCATTGGCTGAGTTAAGTAATGGAATGGAATGAAGGTGTCTAAATTGACAAATGTCAACTTACAATTTTAAAATGTCTCCTCTCCGCCCACGAAATTAATTTTTCAACGAAACGACACCTGACATTGAACTTTCCACCAGCGTCGTCGCGCTTCGACAAAATTGATGTTTTCGTTTTCTTATCACATGTGTCGGTATGTCGCTACTGCGCATTTGAAAGCAATTGATGATTTTCAGACCACAAAAATGATACGATGTAACTAAGAAGATGACAACATCTGAGATAAAGTGGATTAAAAGTACAATTGACGTCAAATGAAGCTCGGAAATCCAGAATGAATACGATACTGTCACGTATATGACTCTTCTAAGGCCAATTTGTCATTGAATCCCAAAACAGATACGTGGCAATTAAATCGTATATTCCGAGGTTAAGATTGAACAAACCAATGGCTTTACATTGGCTATACTTTACAACATAAAGTATAGCCTACATATCATATAATTTCATTTGACATCAAAAGTACGCAAAGACGTAATACGTCATACGTAATAATACATCCTTACATCTTATAACGCAATTACCATCCTTTCTAAATCTATCAATAATACTGTTTTACAACATCTATTTTCCATTGCTGCTAAATCCTCATCAGATTGTATTTTAGCGAAAGCTAAATGACGTTAGAGAATTAATTACTTGTAGAGACCTCAGACTATAAATCGTACTAACGCGCTATATTCTTCATTCGAAATTAGATTGACTGGCAATGAATATGCATTTACATCAGGATCGTAGTGTGTATATCTGTGTCCTTTGCACTGTTTAAGGTATACTTACCAACACTCACTTCTGATCCGTGTTGGTTCCTTCTAAGTGTATCCCGAATGCCCATTGGATAGCCACACTACCTGAATGCATCCCGAATGCCAATTGGATAGCCACACTTCCCTCTGAATGTATCCTGAATGCCCATTGGATAGCCACACTACCTGAATGCATCCCGAATGCCAATTGGATAGCCACACACTCCCCTCTGAATGTATCCCGAATGCCCATTGGATAGCCACACTACCCTCTGAATGTATCCCGAATGCCTATTGGATAGCTACACTAGACCTCTGAATGTATCCCGAATCCCCATTGGATAGCCTCACTACCCTCTGAATGTATCCCGAATCCCCATTGGATAGCCACACTACCCTCTGAATGTACCACGAATGCCTATTGGATAGCCACACTACCCTCTGAATGTATCCCGAATGCCTATTGGATAGCTACACTAGACCTCTGAATGCATCCCGAATGCCAATTGGATAGCCTCAATACCCTCTGAATGTATCCCGAATCCCCATTGGATAGCCTCACTACCTTTTAAATGCATTCCGAATGCCAATTTGATAGCCACACTTCCCTCTGAATGTATCCCGAATGCTTATTGGATAGCCACACTACCCTCTGAATGTATCCCGAATGCCTATTGGATAGCCAAACTACCCTCTGAATGTATCCCGAATGCCCATTGGATAGCCTCACTACCCTCTGAATGTATCACGAATGCCTATTGGATAGCCTCACTACCCTCTGAATGTATCACGAATGCCTATTGGATAGCCACACTACCCTCTGAATGTATCACGAATGCCTATTGGATAGCCTAACTACCCTCTGAATGTATCACGAATGTCTATTGGATAGCCACACTACCCTCTGAATGTAACCCGAATGCCCATTGGATAGCCACACTTCCCTCTGAATGTATCACGAATGCCTATTGGATAGCCTCACTACCCTCTGAATGTATCACGAATGCTTATTGGATAGTCACACTTCCCTCTGAATGTATCACGAATGCCTATTGGATAGCCACACTTCCCTCTGAATGTATCACGAATGCCTATAGGATAGCCTCACTACCCTCTGAATGTATCACGAATGCCTATTGGATAGCCACACTTCCCTCTGAATGTATCACGAATGCCTATTGGATAGCCACGCTAACCTCTCAATGTATCTCAAATTCCCATTGAATACCAACACTATCCTCTGGCAACGCTGATAACGTCTTTATAATCTCAAATGACGCTAACATTGCTTTCAATGGGAATTTCCCGGTGAAACGAGCTTTATCTAGGTACTTAGGCAGAATAGTGTCATGCTTTTAGTGTGCGCCAAAACTCCCGAAAATCCCATAAACTGATGTTGAGGTAGGTTACTATGATCTGACCTATAGTCATTATAGATTGGTTCATTGACTATTCATTTTTACTTGTCTGCACTCAAAATAGTGACACGAAGGGGCTAAACGGCTAGCCCCAAGGTGCAACCGTCAAAAAGATGAGTTTGACAAAAATCTTTTTTTTTCAAATAATAGCAGCGAGTATATGAAATAGGAGGCAAATTTGATATGGATATGTATGATAGTCCATTTGGGTGTGGTCATTTTTATTAAAAACAATAATATTGAAGAATTATATATTGCTGACCTTGAAATGCCATTTTAATGCAAAAGTCGCGGTTGTTATTAATTATATTCCTATTTTACCTATTCAATGTTTTCTATATATTACACTTACCATTATATTCATTTTTGGCAAAGTAAATAATAATGGGGCTCACACAAGGATCCACTTTATTTACAACTTTTTCATATTTAGTGATGTTTTGAAAAATTACTACGTTTAACAGAAAATTATTTGTTAAATGTTAAACAAAATAATGATGATGTGTTTGTTTCGTTGTTTCAACTGAAAAATCATAATTCATTGCTCTTAATCTTAGAGCGGCAGGCCATATACCAGTCTGACCAATCTTCAATACAGTTGATCCTTGTGTGATCCCTACTATTATTTACTTTGCCAAAAACTAATATAATGGTTATTCGGATATATGAAAATCATTTGATAGTCAAAATAAGAATAATATAATTGACTT